TCCTTGAAGGAAATTATATATAATCCTATCACAGACTGCATTGTCCTTCAAGATAAACCTTGAAATGTCCTTTTGGACAGTGAATGCAAGGCTATTGCTCTTGATTGTGTCCTTCCTGGAACAGTAAATCTTATGATTTTATATTTCAAAATGGCCAGTGCCAGTCCATTTCAGCTCACTAATGCCTAGGATATTAACCTTTGCATGTTCCATTTCATATTTGACTTCCAATTTTCTGAGATTTCATATTTCGTACATCCCGAGTTCTGATTATTAACTGATGCTTGCAGCAGTTTCTTCTCATTTTGAGTTGTGCCCCATCAGCAAATGGAGATCCCAAAGGCTTTACTCCCACAGATTTTACTCCATTCAGGTCTCCAGGGTCAGCTCTACTTAGGGAAGGCAGGTCCTCCTCAGTCATATTTTGAGTGCCTTCTGGCCTGAGGGGTCCTCTGGCACTGTCTCTGGCAATGTTCTGCTTGCATTCATTAGGCTGTCAGTATGTGGCAATGTTTCGATGCTATGTATAAGGTTTCCAGTGGCTACTACCTTTGACGTAGACAGTCGATTCCTTCTCCATGGTCTGTTCTGAGTCTGGAAGGTACAATGAAACCTCTTTCACTTTGGCTGAGCCTGTTGGCATTTGAAATACCAGTGACATAGCTTTCAGCATCACATAACATACAAGCCACTACATACTGACAGACAAGTGGTACAGGCAGAGCTCTGTATTTGTTTGGGAGTTGGTGGCTGTATTGGAACTCAGAATCACTGTTCATCCTAGTTTTCCAAACCCGATCTGGACCCTCAACTCTCACTCATCCACATGATGTACAACATAAAGTGCATAGTTCAATGCCTGACTCCTAATAGGTATTCGTAAGCGTTGATGTTGTTAGTTGCTATCGAGCGGAATCTGACTCATGGCAGCCCCATGTGTGCCAAGTAGAACTGCTTCATAAGATCTTCAGGGAAGGAACTATATGTGACCTCCTCCCTGGGGGACAGACAACCGAAAAGTGGGTGAAGGGAGATGTCGGACAGGGCAAGATATGGCAAAATACCAATTTATAAACTATCAAGGGCTCATGAGGGAGGGGGGAGCGAGGAGGGAGGGGAAAAATGAGGCCCTAATGTCGGGGGTTTAAGTGGAGAGAAAATGTTTTGAGAATGATGTACAAATGTGCTTTACACAATTGATGTGTGTATGGATTGCGATAACAGTTGTATGAGCCCCTAATAAAATGTTTAAAAAAAGGAAGAAAAAAAAAAAAGATCTTCAGGGCTGTGACCTTTCCAAAGCCTGTCTTCCAAGGAGCCTCTGGGTTGGTGCAAACCACCAACCTTTTGGCTAAGAGTTCACTGCTAAGTCAGTCAGTCATTAACTCTGCTGTTCTGTTGTTTTCTATGGGGAACTTATGTGTCCACTATCATTTCAAGAAAGGGTTCTGAGACTTTCAAAATGCAGTCTGGTGGTGCGTATCAGAAAGGGTAAATGGGCATAGGGAAGAAGCCCAGACTGTGGGAATTGGAGGACTGGATCCAGGAAGCTCTCCTGAAGCAGGAGACCCAAAGGATGAGTTAGATTCACTGCAAAAACAGAATGAGGTTGGCCAGACTGAGAGATCAGAGTGTGTGGTGGCCTGGATTTGGGAACCTGGGAGCATTTGGATCCCTGCAAGGAATTTCATCTGTCTAGGAATGAAACAAGCTGAGCAGGGAAGATGGCAGAAGTATCCCATTTGCCGTAGGGCAGTGGATGTCATAGGCCAGGGGGATGCTAAGAAAGGCTTTCTTTCTCTTCTCAGAGTCATCGCGTCCCTAGCCTCTACCCCTCAATAATTGCTGCATCCTTTCTAGAAAGAAGCTCTTATTGGAGTTGGTATTGAGGGGGAGATGTCTGACTTCGGGGGGCGGGGAGGGGATCATTTGGAGATAGCCTGTATCGGGGAGCATGCATGCCCCCACTGTGTCTTACGTGTGTCTCTCCCTATGGAACACAGCACCTGGCTCACAACTTTGTTCATTGCCTGTTTGGTGCCAGGGTTGTAATAATGGCTACCCTTAGTGGGTGCTTTCTAAAATGCCAAAATGTTCTGTACCTTGAGCTGGCTGTTGCTTAAAATTAACCCAAACCCACTGTCATAGAGCCGATGCCAACTCAAAATCCAGAGTGTAAAACCTTATGGGAGTAGGCAGGTTTATCTTCCTCCCTTGGAGTGACTGATGAGTTTGACCTGCCGACCTTGCAGTTCACAGCCCAATGCCTGTCCCACAGCGTCACCAGGCTCCGTAGCTGGTGGCTGTACCATTAGTTATCTAAAATTCGCTGAGTTTAAAAATGGACTTAAAGCTTCGCAGATCTCAATCAAATAGGGAAAAAGAGAAGTCCATTTAAAGCTAAATACTGCGTCAAGGCAGAATATGTATGGGGCACCAATTCTGCAGAGACACACGGGTGGTTAAAGTCTTGGCAGTGAGGAAGTATGCAGTCTTGAAGACTCCCAGGTTCTGAGACGCTGAGGGCTCTGGAGGTCTAAGATCCAAGACGACCACCACAATGTTGTCCAGATGATGGGCACTTGCTGGGCAGTGTGCACTCCTAGGAGGGTGGTCTGTGAGGGTCCCAGCTCCTGGCCCCAGCTTCTTCCTGCAGCACCCTGGTCCACTCTGGCCCTATCCCAGCCGCCTTTCTCTCTGGGCACTGACCTGAGCCCCAGCTGCATCTATCATTTGCTTCAAGCTCATTAAAATTATTTCTTTTTAGTTGCAAATGGGCTGTTTATGATGATCATTATTTGAATGGCCTGTGCCGGGCTCCGGGCTGTCTGTCTGCTGCTGACGGCTGGTTAATCAGATGAGTCTCCTCCCAGCCTGGGCCCGGCCCAGAGTCTGGCCTGTGTAAATCACGGCTCCCTGGGGCCGCTGGATAGGAGAGGAGAGGTTCTCCATACTATGTGTGTGGTAGTGGGGGTCGGGGGTGGGGGGTTGTGTCAAAAACCCAGAGCCCACTGTCTTGTGCCTCCTGAAGGAGTTCTTGCTGTTCTTTCAGAAACTACACCAGCGCCAGCGTGCTCATTGTGACCATGTGACCAGTGTGTTCATGTTAAAAGGCTGCTGCATATTCTGTATCTGTTCCTCATGCTTTGTTGATGCTCAGAGAGCCTTTCAGGATGTCAGGATGGGAGGGCATGGTTTTGAAGGTTTTCGTGTGCGAGAAAAATAATCTTTACAATCTTATGTCAATCCTTTTTTTTTTTAATTCACGTACTTGAAGCTGTTTTGTTGTGGTTATTTTTTCCCTTTCCTTTTTACTGACCTGAGAAGTCCACACCCTTGAGGAGGTGCTATATATGACACTTTCCTTACTTACATCGTTGAAAACAGGTCCCCTGAACCAGTTCAGCCAATAGGGAGGTGGGGCAGAAGCAGTGACAGTGGGGGCCGTCAGAAATGTGCCTTCCTAATTCTCCAAGGACATAAACCACACCTGAATTATTAGAACTGACTGTCATTTATTTCTTAGCCATGTCATGACTTGCCTTATGGACACATTAATGTGTGAACTGAGATGATATATTATGTGAGGCGCTTAACACAGTGCCAAGAATATGGGAGGCTCTTGATAAATATGAGGCACAGTTTATTTGGTCACTTTTTTATTGTGATAAATAGATATGTAACAGAATATAATTATTACTATTTCAGAAACTCTGGTAGCACAGTGGGTTAAGCTTTGGGCTGCTAGCCAAAAGGTCAGAAGTTCAAGCCCACTAACCCACTACTGTTGCTACTTTCAGTAGGAGTCATATGTGGACCATATACCGACAGAAATGTTGCAAATAGGCATAGCACACTTAGGAAAATAACACGGGGAAGTGATGTGATTAGCAAAAAGAAAAAGGTATAACACATTGTTTGCATGAAAGATGGTAAACATGGTAAGAATTCAAGCTTGAAGGGTTAGCAGAGATGTGGACAAAGTTGGGATGAGGAAACCATGTCATTGAGGTCCCTGCTTCTGGGTGCTGAGCAGAAAGGCTGTGCTGGGGACCCAGAGATGGGCTGCTGGTGGGCAGAGGCCCATGCCTTACCTTGGCCCCATGTGCAGTGTAGCTACAGCAGAGAGCCTGCCTACCCAATTTGCCCCTGTCAGCAGCCAAGGAAGTACAGGTGTCAGAAGCCAGGCCAGTCTCAGGCATCTGTGTCTGTTCACAGGGACAGCACAGTTGGCCGCTGGACAATACTGGCCTGAGCATCCCTTTCCTGGGTTGAATGCTTTAAACAAGGGGTCGGCATCCAGCTCCCACTGAGTCTATTGGTTGTTGGGTGGAGAAGGATACAATGTCCCAGGGCCCAAAACCTAGTGTCAGAGTCATGGGCAGCCAGACAAGAGTGAATGCCAGCCCAAGACACAGTGCTGTTGATCCTTCAGAAAAGTGAAACATCACAGCCCTGTCGTCAAGACCAACTGGAAGGGCCCAGGAAAGCGGAGCACATGCCCTCTGCCATGACCAGCTAGGGGAGGGCCCGTCCCCCTGGCTGCCTCCACTGGCTGGTGCCCACCCGTCCGCCTTAGAGCAGATCTATGTCCTCATTGGAAGTGGTGATTATTTTTTAAGTGATGATAAAGCAGAAGTCTCCCCTTTTTTCTTCTTGGCAACCTGTCAGAAACATTTTCACTCTCCTCCTCTCTCATGGGCCTTGTATCTCACCTGACTTATAATTCTCTGGGGATTTGGACTGGGGGTGGTGGGGGTGGTTGGCCTTTGAGTCTGGGTACCTTGGGTGTAAAACAGTACATTCCTTGCCGCTAGCCAGAAGGCTGGCAGTATGGGGCCCACCCACGTGTATCGTGGGAGAAAGGACTGGCGAGCGCTTGTCATGCAGATGACAGCCAAGAAAACCCTATGGAGCTCAGCTCTCCTGTGGAACACCTGGGGTTCATGCGTCCAAGGCAACGCTGCCCTAGGTTCCACCTAGAGTGGATTTCAGCACCGTGGAGAGCGCCCCGCGACTGTTCTCACCTGGTCTATTTCAGTCGTGGTGTTTCGGCTTCCACCTACTTCCCTCTCATGGTAAGTCTCCAGTCCCACCCCAATTTCTCCAAACTACTCCCAAGGACAGAGGCACCCACCCCAAGTTTGGGGTCCGCTCTACCATCTCCGACTGGCACAGGGTTTGGGGCGCCCTGGTGAACTGCCGCTGAGCGGCTTTACCTTCTCTCAGACGTGATATAAGACAATTGCCCTTCGTTTTGTGTCTTTGAGGGGAAAGGATTTGCAGTGGGTTAATAGTACTTTTATTTCATTACCTAATGGTAAAAATGTTTTATTGTGTGTGCGAGATGAATGTGTATTAGCGGTGACAAATAGGCCCTTTCAGCTCGGTGCCAGGTCTCATCGTACATATGTTAGATTAAAGAGTTCACCCTAGAAATACACTCCCGCATCTGCGTGTATGTTTTTAATAAATCTGATTGCAGGAATTTATTGCATCACCAGATTTAGGGGATTATGGAGCTTGATGACTGCAAATATAACAGGGTGATATATACAGAAAGGCTGCTCGAATTATGGTCCGGGGGGTGGGGGAGAAACCCATCTCAGGATGGTGCAAGAAAGCAGCAGACCACGTAAACAGAGCATATCTTGAATTATGCAAATGAAATCCATGACAGCTAATGGTGAATTGTGCTCCCTGAGTGAAAGTGCCTGCGTTACAGTGAAGAAAGCGGAAAGAAAGGCGACCAAATATACAGGCACAGCCAGCAGACATCATCTGTGGTGTATGGGAGCCGGGAGTATCCCCCTTTCAGCCCCAGCACCCTCTCTCCACCCCTACCCCCTCCACGTCCTGTGAAAACCTGGTCTGCCACCTTCCTCACACACAAGGCAGGCAAAGCGCCTTCCGATCCATCTCTTTTGAATCCGAGAGCCTTCTAAGAAATATTTCTTATCGTTGAAGTGAGCCTCAGATGATTTACTACAGGATACACAAAAGGTCAGCCTGCTTCTTATTGGCACCTTCATTTTTCCAAAATCTACTGAAATTAAAAAGCCATCTATATCTTAAAAGGCGTATTTATGAACCCTTAAGTGTAAGTAACTCATAGTTGGAACGGTTCCCACCTCTGATATATGAAAGCTGTCGGCAGCACTCTCATGCACTATAATATGCCCATACAATATGCCGCACTTTACTATTTTGACATGGTTTGGAGATGTTTTCGGCAGTTACTGACAAGCTTATGCCATTACTCCTTTTGGAAATTTAAGAGGTGGGGCTGGGGAAGGGAGGTGGGGAGTGGAGAGACAGGAAGAGGGGAAAGAAAAAAAAGTCACTCCACCCAACTTTATGGGAGATTATTGATCTGGCCCAACTTCCAACGAGCAAAAAAAAAAAGCTGCCCTAGATTTTTTATTCAGTTGCTTCCCCAGTTTCGTAAATTATTCATTTGTGCCAAGAGTCAATGTCCTGTCTTTTCTGAGCTTTGTAAGTTAAGAAAACTTGTTCGGAACACTGTTTTGTATGATGATTACAAGGGAAAAGGAGGGAGAAAAAAATATTTTTCTTTTCTCTCTCTCTCTTTTTTTATATTGTTCCAGAAGGAGCTTAATTCGGTCGCTTCTGAGCTGTCTGCGCGGCAGGAGGAGAGCGAACATTCTCATAAACATTTAATTGAACTCCGCCGGGAATTTAAGAAAAATGTACCTGAGGTAGAGTATATTTGCTGTTATAGAATTAACTCAGTAGGAATGCAGATTTTTCTCTGTTCAAACTGTATTTTGAAAACCGTAGACATAAGTGACTTACAAGAAAAGAAGCTAATTAGCCGCCAAGAAGAATTACAGCCCCCCCCCCTCCAACCTTGGGTGATTCTTGGGGTGGCAGCGTTCAGCGGTGCTGTCGAAAGTTGGAGCCGGATGCCTCACCATTAAAGCAATCGTTGAGGGCTCTGTGAGGCATCCATCTCCCCCACGCTCATCTCGAAATCAAATGCGTGGCCTTGATGACAGAGGCAATTTGTCCAGAGTTCTTGATTTTAGTTTGCTTTTCCCCTGGCGCCTGGGAGATGGTGGCAGCAGACTCCCTCCGCTCACTGCCAGCTTTCCCGCCCTCACCCCTGTCTCAGGAGTTCAGTTTCTCATCCCCCTGCATGCTTCTTGGCCCTATTTTTCCTTTCCTACGGACTCCTCGCAGCTGCAGCCACCAGCTTTGTCTCTCCTGGCTGCCGTGAGGGTGGTGCAGACAGTGCCCAGTACCCCACAATGTAAGAAACTCCCCCTAATTGTAAAGGATTTCCAGAGATAGAAGCCTTTCCCCAAGAGGTAAGAGACTGCATCACCCCCACCCCACCAGGGGAAGAAGGGAGGCTAGAAGGGACATGTCTCAGTTCTTTATGGGATGAATGTATGAATTTCACTCCCTGCTCCATCAGGCCCCCTCCTTCTTCTCACAGTTAAAAAGTAGTGGAAATAAAGGCCAAAGGGGAAAACACAGCCCTCTGCTTCCATGTCACTTCAGCAGAGATGCAGTGCATCCGTAGCCAGAGGTCTTGAGCTTGGTCCTCCTCCAAAGCCAGCTGTGTGTCCGTCTCAAGCCCGCAGAGGGTGAACATCTGAGCCCTCTATTCTACCTGCTTGGATGCCCTAATCCCCCAAAGGATGGTGGGATAGGGGCTGGAATCAGGAGGTCCGTGAATGGATAGCATACATTCCATGAGTCATGCTCTGCCCAGCCCAGCAGAATTGCCGGCTTTCCTGCTAGTGGGGGCGCACGGGGCTGGTCAGCAGTCAGGGTTCACCGGGCTCACGATCACAGAAGGGGTTAAGGCTCTTATCTGTGAAATCCTTCTGGTGCAAGCCATAAATACCATGGGTTCTTCAATGCAAGAGAGGGATGGGACCTAGCTAGGACTCACTGGGGGCTTAGAGAGGGTATGTTTGGAGAGTAGGGTTTCTGAGCACACCGGGCCTTCAGGAAGATCCATTGACACACTGGTTGGAGCCCAGAGCTGAAGCTGAACATCTCTCCCTCCCCTCAGGACAGAACATGGCTTGGTCTTGCAGCGAAATGTCTCCCTAGAGCTCCTCCTCTGGCAAGCAAGGATGGCATGACCCCAGATTGGGACAACACCACCCACCCCATCACTTCCTCTCTCAGTCCCAATGCAGTGGACTTTGCCCCCAGGCCACATGGGATGCCCCAGGTGATGAAGGAAATCCAGGCCAGGTTTTCAGACTCCAAGTTGAGCTTACATAATTTTAATACCGCATAATTATACAATTATGTAATTAGGAGGAATAAGTTTCCATTCCTATTATAGTTGCGCCTCTGAAAATTCTCATTTTTGGAACTAGACTCTCCCGATGGCAAGAGCTGTGCCCGAGCTTTATTTAAGAACCTTGTCTGGCTAGTGCCCAACTTGCCTCCCACTCTTGGCTTTGCTCAACTTGTCTCAGGGGTGAGGCAGTCCGGGCCCTAGGCATCTGGCAATGGTCATCATTGGCCTTGAGCCTGAAACCCAGGGCCAGCTGTCCCACTCACTCACAATTCAATCTTAAGCAAGGCGCTCCCCGACCTGGGCCTCAGTCTCCCCATCTTTAAACCCAGGGGAATAAAGCCCCTTCCAGCACTCACCTTTTCTGAATCTTGATTGGAGGTTTTTTACTGACATGTATTGTTTGGTCTGTAAAGCCTTGCAGACTTCACAATCAATAGCCCAACATTTAACATCTCAAATTTCACCGAAGAAGTAGGATTTCTGATATCTTCTAACAGATGAGTGGGTCTTGCAATGTAAATTCTCCATGCCCAAGTGACAGTCATCGGCTCACACTAAGTAGCTGCTGCCCCCTTTAGACAGCACTAGTGTCCTCCTGAGACCTGTCATGGGGTCTCCTTGCCTGCCTCCCTCATGTCCACTTCCTGCCCAGCTTCACAACCTCTGACCTAGGTCCTCATCCAGTTCCTTCTCTATTGCTCAAGCCAAATATCCACAGTGCCTTGTGCTCAGATTCACCTAGGGCACTCACCCTCCTCATGCCCCTCTGGAAGCACCCCATTACAGGTCAATGTATCCGACACTCTGAGAAGCCCTACAGGATAGGCATCAATGAGGTAGGCCACTTGGGACCCAGAAGAGGCATGTCTTCCAGAGGCAGAAGCAACACAGTCTATTTTCACTATTAGAGATTTACTTCCTTAGCTAAACAGATAGGTTCTTTCTCCCATGTCTAGTTCCTGTCCTGCTTCTCTGCCCTGCTTCCTCTCACCTCACCCTCACAAGGTCCCTCAACTCCTCTTTCACAGGGATTTATTTCTTGGGGCCCGTGTGGCTGACAGTGGTTGGGTGAGTCTAAAGTAGATCTCAGGGGGAAAGGATTCAGGGTTTGGATCTTTGGATCTTGACCCTAAAAGGCTTCCTCTCTTGCATCCTGGAGGGAGAAGAGAACGGATGGAAGTCAATGAGGACTTCTCTTAAAGCTGGGGACCACTATGTCACTTGTAGAAGGCAGGAAATTTGGATCTTGGAGACCTTTGTTCTGAAGCCTGCCCACTCGCATTAGCTCATCAAATGGTCAGGGAGCTCTTCTATGGCCTTCCACGGGGTGGCACAGATCAAGACCCTAGAATCCTGCACATTCTAGTGAGACACATACAGAACTGAAGGCGGCTACAACACAAGGAACAGCCTTTACTAAAGAGGTGGACGCTGGGGCTCTCAGGCGACACACAGAAGGAGCAGCTTGTGAGAAAGGCTGGGAGGATAGGAAGGTATTCCCAAAGGGAGTCTCTTGGCGCTGAGCATGGAGAAGGGGGCCACCTCTCCAGCTGCCAGTGGCAACATCAAGCTAAACCTCCAGCATAGCCTTTTTCCAGAGAGTTCCATGATTGACCACCCATTCCAGAAGATACTTTACATAAGAGAGTGCTTGTGGTCAACTCCCTTCCTAAGGGTCATTGGCCTGTTAAAGACTCCGAAAGCCCTGCAGGACAGAATCCACCTGATTTGATGTTTCCCAGTCTGATTTGGCTCAGAGCCGTGTGTGTGTGTGTGTGTGTGTGTGTGTGTGTCCCTTAGGAAAATCCATGGAGGCCAGGTCTCTCAAGACACCCTTGTGAAAGGGCTCAAATAGAAAGAAAATGTTTTGAAAATGATGATGGCAATATATGTACAATTGTGCTTGATACAATCAATGTGTGGGTTGTTATAAGAGCTGTAGGAGCCCCCGATAAAATTATTTCTTAAGATTTTTTTTTTAATTAAAAAAACTTACACTGCTCTGGGGGAGAGTGTTGAGCTGCAGGCAAGGGGCCGTGGGGGTCTCCTACCTGGCACTTGTGAACTCTTCGCTGATCTCTTTTTCAGGAAATCAGAGAGATGGTGGCTCCTGTATTAAAAAGCTTCCAGGCTGAGGTAAGACTCAAGGCCCACGGCATGTCCCAGAAGTGCCTCCGGGCCCCTCTCCCATCCCAGCAGAGTTGCCAGAGGAAGCCGACAGCTTCTGGACACTTGCTATTGTGAGCTCTGCCCATTTCCTCAGATCAGTTCGTCGTGGCTTCTTCATGCCAAAAAATAGTCTCTGTTTGATGGATCCCAGGAAAGCCCCCTCCACCTAGACTGGACGCCGCCTGGCAGCAGCTCTGCTGTGACCCTGAACAGCCCCCTTCACCTTCCAGGCGTGGTTTCCCATGTCCAGAATGAGAGCCTTGTCTTGTGGGACCTTTGCTCTCCTTCAGCCTTCTGCTAGGTGAGGTTCTCTAAGGCAGCCTTGCAGATGAGGACAGGCACCAGCCCGCCCTGAAATTCTTTCTACTAGCCCACCCTCTGAGTCTAAAACTAACATTGTCCCCATTCGTCCAGCCCCCGGTTCCTCTGGAGCAGCTGAGCAGGGCCCTCAGCACACTGTGTCACTAGCCTTCCCTTAGGTTATCTCTTTGCTGGACTTTGCGACCAGGCCTCTGAGATGATGCACTTGTCCAGTTGGCACAGGAGGCCGGGTAGGGAAAGACTTGACTCATAGCAGGTCAGGTAGGGGAAGCAGAAGGGATGTCCTTTTTCTGAAAAGCACTCTCATCTCCTCCGGGGCTCAGCCAGGGGCCCTGGGAGGACCAGCCTTCTAGGGCTAGCCAGTGGGAATGCGTTTGAAGTCTGCATTCCGCCAAGTTCCCCATTCCTTTAAATCTGTCCCTTTGGAGCCACAAAAGCGCATGAGGCCGTCTTAAAGTAAACAGTAACCGGGTTTGCACAAATGCCGCTGATTTCCATATTTTTCATCCCATCTTTTTATTACTAAGCTGATGGGTGCGCTTATTTATTTATAGTGCCGTCTAGTAGTGATTCATTTGGATGTGAGGTGCTGGGGCTGAGGCAAGGATGAAGAAGAGCAAAAACAAGGGTGGAGTTGTGTTTTCAAGGCGTTGTGTTTTTTTTTTAGAAAAGAGATTCTCAACTGCCATGAAGGACGGACAAGGAACCCCCAGCCGCCCTTAGCCCAGCCCAAAGCCGGGCAGTGAGCCTGTTGCCTGGGGTGGCACTCTCTCAGTCGGTCTTTTGTATGGCTTTGGGTTTGGTGCGACAGAGCCTCACTTAGCCTCTTGGAACCTCCATGTCCCAATCTGTTAAATGGGCATAAGGATCCCCTCTGTTGTTTTTCAGGAGCAAGTGAGGTAAAAGGCAGGGAAAGGGTCTGATTTAATGGCCAGCACGTGGAGAGTTGCAGAGTGGAGTACTAGACTCTGGATCAGCCTGGGTTTGCAGCCTCACTGTGTGACCATAGGCAAGTTACTTAACCTCTCTGTGCTTCCATTTCATTGGCTGTGAAATGAAATCGTAATGAGACCCACTCCAAATGGTGGTGATTGAAGAGGAACAAAGTTAATCCCCAGTAGCGCTATGCATGTGACAAGTCAGGATGTTCCGTTGCTCCTTGTATTAGTCTAGGTACTCTGGTGAAACAAATCCACAGCAACTCACATATAAGAGAGAGTTTTATGCAAAGAAAATGTGCATCACGAAAACATCCCAACCCAATGCTGCCCAAGCCCACAAGTCCAACATTAACCCATACCCAACACCAGTCCACAAAGTCCTTCACCTCACAAAACAGAGGCAATAATGCCGACTACAGGAGGAAAGCTGAGTCAGTGAACATGTAAGCATCTCAGCACTGGCAGGGGTCTCCACATGGCTGCTCTAGCACCCAGGGCTGCATCGGGATAGATCCATGCGGCTTCTCCTTGGGGATGTCTTGTAGGAAATCCATCTGAAGCAGGGAACTGCTAAGGCAGCTGCACCCGATGAAACCATCACAAAACAAGAGACCCGAGAACTAGAAAGGCGAGGCTTCACCACCCATTTATCCCTCCGCCTTTCAACCAGCACCACATGTGATTATCGGCCAGGCTGGCACAATTAACTAACTCACTCCTCTTCTTGGTGTAATCTCCGATACTTTGCTTTGCTTTGGTTTTGCGTGTGTCGGAACCTGCTTATTGCTAAACTTGCTGTTTGGGACTTTTATCCAAAAGAAAGGGTCTTTCTGAGTACCCCAACCTTTACGTTGCTTCCCTCTTGCAATCCACCAGGCTCTGGGCTCAAGCCAAGGAGTCCCAAGTGGATGTTATTCACTGCACAGAAATCTCCCCTTGTGGCAGACACCGTCCACTTTCATGGAAAGCAGCCCACCATCCAACCCTCTCTGCACCCCAGAGCAGGTTTCTTGTTGAAATCTAACATGTTTAGGTTTAGACCAGATTGTTCCTCCCGCTGCCTTGGTATGGCTAGAACCGGGTATCTTTTAAAATTATATATACTTTGTGTGTGTGTGTGTGTGTGTGATAGTGTGTGTGTGTGTGTGATAGAGTGTGTGGGAGGGGAGAAGAGGAAGTGAGTTTGCCCTGCTGTGAATCAGGAAAGCTTCCCTCCCGCCTTGATTATATAAAGGACAGTTTGATTTCCCCTGCTAGGGGGAACAAAGACAGCCAGAGAAGGTGGCTTGATGGCGACAGCTTGAGACAGCTTGAAATGGCCAAAGTTTGAATATCCTTGCGCACAGAGAAAAGAGCAAGCCGAAAGCCCCGCTAATTACAAAAGTTGCTTTATGAAAGATAATTCAAAGCAATAATTTAGCAAACATAATCAAGTCGCACAGATGGGGTTGTTGATGGATGGATTGCAACATGCAATTAGCAGTTCTCGCAGTTACATATCATTAACCCTCCGAGCACAAAAATTATTTTCTCATTATTAGTTGAAAAGGTAAAATTAAGCTGACTAGACAGTAAAGGAACAAACTACAATTAATTACCTTCATTTATTACAGTCATTATTTTAAACTTATTTTTACTTGGAGAGAGAGATGAAAACATCTAAATTAAAAGTTTTGTTATGCTAAATCGGAGGTGAAACTTTTCTAAGACGAATGTGCTAGCCCAGCCAGGAAGCTGCCAGCGCCCGTGTCTCCAAGTTGGTTTTTCTCTCCCTCCTCCTCCCCCCAAAGGAACTGGATGAGGCCCCAGTGGCAGAAAGCCCTCTGGAGTTGGCCCCACATGGAGGCATCCACCTTGGTCCAGTCAAAACATGGCGGCTTGTGAACCAGGCAGCAAGCAACCTTGGCTCTGACACCCCGCCCCCGCAGGGGTCAGCAGGAGAGTGTGGGGTCAGGCAGCCACGGTCTGATTCCCACCCCAACACTGGGAGCTCCCATGACCTTGACAAGTCTCTTCATGCCTCCATGTCACAGCTTCCTCCTCTGTGGCAGAAAGATCAGTGAGATTCATGTGTCAAGTGGCCAGCATGTCATGTGAGTGAGTGTGATTGCAAAGAGGCTGGGCAGGCCCTTACTCTGCCCACCCTCTCTGTCTTTCCTGATGGTGGTTCCTGTGCCCGCCAACTCCACAGCCTCCAGCCTTGGTTGGATGAGTGAATGACTCAATCAATCAAGATAACTCTAGTCAGGGCAGTTACCCTTCACTGTGCCACCTGGAAAATGTGGTGGTGACACTTTGCTCTCCTGGTCAGAGATGTCAGATATCATAACCTGCCGTGGTTTGAGGCATCCCAGAGCTTTCTCTGCAGCTCCTGTGGCATGGCACACTTCTGAAGGGTTAGAAAGGAGGCCAAGGGGCCAATGATGAAGTGGCATATTATATCATTAGTTGAGTCCATGAAATCTTGTGTTTATTATACAAACGTATATTGAGGGCCTAATATATACCAGTTGGTGTTCTAGATGCCGGGAAACCTGGTCGTCTACCTGATCCCTCTTCATATGAGAGAGAAACCAGTCTTTGTGAGGACCTCCCTTACCCCCCTTGGAAGGGCTTCCCAAGGAAATCAGGGCCATTCTTCTACTCAGGCCATGCGGGTTCACCCGCCATCTATCTCTAGAGCTCATACTGTATACCTGGCTTGGTGCAGAGCTGAGAAACACCCAAGGATGGCTGAGACCCTGTCCTGCCCTGAAGAAATGTCTCTGTGATTGAAATGATGGCCAGGGTAACACAGTCCCCAAAGACAATGTTCTACACTCCACTTCGGTGAGTATGGCCTGAGAGCTTAAAACCTTGTGAGCAGCTATCTAAGGTGCAGTTTATCTGGCTCTCCTTTGAAGGGAAGGCGAGTGATGAACATCAAGACACATGGAAACAATTAGTTCCTGGGACTAATGGACCTCCTGGACATCCGTCTCCACAACCCTGAGACCAGAAGAGTGATCAACAACCACTATCAACTGCTCTGAAAGGTTGGGCATTATAAGGTTCTGGTTGGAGTGGGCGAAAAATATGGACGAAAAGTCAAAATCCTTGAAGAGACCAGGCTTACTGGTCACCTAGAGAGAGATGGAACCCCTTGGACAATGGCCGCTAATCACCATTCAGATCTGGAATGGAACTCACCCCCGGGGCTCATTCTTCGGCCAAAAAATTAGGTCTGTAAGGGGAACAACAACATTAGGCAGATCTGCGCACCTTAGGATAATAAGCCATTGGCAATCCAAAGGGCAGCATCTACTCAAGGACCAAGTTCATAAGGGATTGGGAAGAAAGGAGAAGGTGAGATAAGGTAGGGATTGCAATCAACGATGTGGAACAAAACACGTATAAAGTGTTGAATGGAAAACAGGTCTGTTCTGTTAGCATTCATCCAATTCACACGCACACACACAAAAAAAGTTAAAAAGAAAGGAAGAAATGATGACCAGTAGGTGGCTCAAGAGCCTGGTGGGGGCTTATTGGTCCCCTCTCAGAGGCTCTGTCCCCAAGACGATAATGGCAAAAGATCCAATCATTGTGCACATCAGCCTTGTGACCTTGCTCTGCTCTATCAAGAGGTAGTTATTTCTCCATCATGTTGAATGTGAGCACTTTGGCCAATGGAACATGAATGATGGAAGTGACACGATACCAGAACCA